GGGATAATAGTCGTCCATCCGGAGAGAAGTTGAACCGTGAGAGAAAGAAGAGAGTGAATAATGGCTGAAAGATAATGTGTTATTTTTTTTTTAATTAATGTATCAATCAACCTATCCTTAATAACTGATCTTGTCTGTGGGTCTGCCGGGGGATTGGCACAGCATCCAATGGCGCTTGGTTGACAATCTTGATTTTGTTTGTGTCTTCCTTCTCCTCTGGCGATGAACTTGAGCAATCACTCACTACATATCCAAATCATTCCCACTACTCTCCACCTCGGTCTCCTGTCCATTATCAATGAGATCGAGATCCACAAAGACAAAATTGTGATGGCAGCATCATGGAAGACAGTACGATTCTCAGAGTCCCGGCCCCATTGACGTCCAACGGATTGGTCACGTTGTAGGATATAACCTCCAAGGGTTCTTGGAGTGTGTATACGCTGGCTGGTCTTGGTCACTGTACATGATTGTCGGTGGGAGCTGAGCTGGGAGTCTACGGTCAAGGAGGATGATATCAGGATGCAAGTGGGCCGGGTTTGGGTCAAAAAACAGTGACCAAACCCGCCCCGCCAAATCCTCGGGGCGGGGCGGGTCGGGGCAAAAATTTTAAAATGTTGACCAAACCCGGCCCAAATACACAGTGCCTTGGGTTGGGTCGGGTCGGGTCTTGGGTCGGATCCGGGTCAACCCAGCAAAAATCACTTTCTTTTTAATCAAGTACATAATTCGATCAATCTCAAGCCGACCCGAATGCATTCCGTCCTGACCATACCCGCCCCACCGACCCGTCGGGTTAAATCCGGGCCGGGTCAATTTCCAATCGTAGCCTGCCCAAACCCGCCCCGTGACCCGCCGGGTCGCGGGTACCCGGCGGGTCGACCCGACCCACTTGCATCCTGAGGATGATACGTGATTGGAGGCCAAGTTTCCGTGGGAGTAGGAATTGGTTGATTGACGTGGGTCATGTAGGAGTGATGTGGACTGGGGGAGTTGTCCTGGGATTGGTTTAAGAGATCTTTGAAGGCTGGTCAGAGATCATGGAGGAACAATGAATATTTCTGAGATCGAGTGACGGCTTGATTGATGGTCTGGTTAACTTTGAGAGTATCTACTGATCAGCTTGTGAGGTGATTATGACTGCAATGCTTAAACAGATGCTGTTTCTTTCCTTTTGGGGCGGAATATTGAAGCTTGGGGGAGGTAGTAGGGTTATATGTACGCAGGATGGGACATGGCTGGTGGCAAAAGGGTTTTGATATGCATGACGAGGGATCCGCCAGAGACTCAGAGTCAATGTGGATTGGTCTTGATTTCCTTGAGATGGAGATGGACACTAGTTTGACTAGGACTGAACCCCTGATTTGTGAGTTGGGTGAGAACGGCTGGTTCCGGCAAGAGATAGAAGTATCTTGGATCAAAACCTGGTTTAAGAAGACATAGAGATGGTCAGTCTTATAGTAAGCATTTCTTGATTGGATTATAAATATAGATAGAATGGAATCTAGATGCATTTTTTGTTTTCCTCTTCTTTTTGAGCGTCCTAGAAAACCAACAGAGTGAAGACAGGTTCAGTTAAAGAGGGAGAGATGACTGATTGTCTGATCAAGAGAGACTAGCCATCCTCCAAGTTCCAAGATAGGATATTGACTGTTAGAATAGATTATAGAATAGAGAGAGAGATATTTACCAATAAACTGTTCTCAGCTTTGGGCTTAAGCACTTCCCAAGTTTGCAATCACCATTGAAAAGCGATTCATGCATGTAGTAATATTACTTGAGAAGCTGTTGTTTTTCAGCTATCTTTCATTTTTGTATGTACCCTTATTATTTCAATATTTTGTTTTCCATTGCTATCATTATTGCTGCTACTCCAAAGCAAATACATACAGTCGGTCCAAAATCGAATGAGAATGACTCTCACCGATTTTGGTGAATCCCTGCTAAGGTAGTGTAGAGTTTGTTTTGAGTTGGCAGATAGGCAACACACAGTTGCACCTATGTTTGATATCGGGGGGGGGGGGGTGTTCCCTGCACAAGCACTGCCATCGATTGCTTGCCAGATACTCAAACTGGTGAGCCTCAATTCCGAGCATGGCATCTGAAGAACTCATACCCCCACTCGGAAGCTCTCCGATCAGCCAAAGTTCAGTGCATGACAACAACCACGACGAGGACAGCACCACCGACGAGGGTCAAGAGGTCGAAGTTCCGGTCTCCTTCACTGTTTATGTCACCAGACCACCTAAACCAGGACGACGAGGTATGATCCAGGTGCCGCCATTCTGCTACAAAAGTCCGAGGGGGTGTTCGATTCAAATGCATACCCAGCTGTCCACTTTTGACGAAGTCCAACACAAGATTGCCGAGATTTTTGAAGACCATGCCAAAAACCTGGGGGCCTTAGTTTTGGCCGATTACAATTCTGAAACACCGACAATCATTTGGAAGGCTGCAGTGTCATATGGAATAACCGGTGCATTTAGCCGAAACAACAACGTAATGCTAACTCCACAGATCTTCAGAGAGTGGAAAGATGAAATCCAAAACAGTCCACGTGGCCGAGGCAGCATTTCAATCCAGCAACCAAAGCCATCGCAAGAGTCCACTGCCGATCAGGTATGGATACCTTATCTATGCCCTTTTGCTCGGTTATTCTTACTTCTTTCTACACACCTCAGATAACCTTCTCATCTTATGAATTCTCTGTTTGGACTTGGTCAGGAGGCTGCGGTCGCACAGGCACTTCAAAATATCAACAGTGCCAATCCAGGCCAAGAGCAAGCAGACGACAACGAATCCAATCACCAAAGAAGAGAAGCCGAGACGCCTGCATTGAATGATTTTTCCCTCTCAGCAACTATCCGCGAGTTATACAATACCCATCGCAGAGAGGGGAATATGCATCGAAGCTTTCCGGTATTTTGTAATCCAATCAAACCAAGCGAGGCAATCATACTCACTCCGGCCGCTATTGGGATCTGGGCAGAGGCAATAGTAAGCCTAGTTGATGCCAAAATCTTCACTGACACTGAGCTGATAGTCGGGCCTCACCAGGGGAAATTTCAGGGCACTGGTTGCCCAGTGACTGCATGTCACCATAAAATCAAACAAAAATCACAAAAAATCACTTTGGTAACGAACCTAAAATTGCCATATTTTTCACAGTATTGGGAACTGATTTTCTCATATCTTTCACTCAACATTCAGACAAAATTCAAAATAAAATACTATCAAAGTCACTAGAGTTTCCTCATGTGATGAGTTTTTTATGTCACTTCTAATTTACAGAAATAGTAAATAGAATCAGCACAGAATGATTTTTTCTGCAGCCCCAGCATAAAAGTTTGAAAGTCTCTTGATCAGATCAGGATATTCTTTGTAGATTTAGATCCTCTCGCACCAGTCAATTTAATCAAACTTATCATTTCCAGTTCTAAATCTAATACTTTCTCAGATAGATTCTGGAATTCATTTCCCCTAGTACAATAAAAACAGCCTCAAAATTACCCAAGTTTTAATAAAATTCAAAAAAAAACTGTAATTTCTTCATATAAACACAATGCGATCAATAAGATGAGCTTTAAAAAACTCAATCATGAGACGACAAAATTTCTAAATTGAATTCACGAGAGGATGATTTTTTCATGGGTCCTATGGGACGGCAGCAGAGAATCATGAGAAAAAAGGAAAAAACAAGGCTGGGAGGGGTTTCCTCAAAGCCTGAAGACTATAAACTCATAGCCGCTCATTGGGAGAAAACCCTCCCAATGATCTGCTTTACATTCCAGCTCATTGGGAGGACACACTCCCGATGAGCTGGGTGTGAAGCGCAGCTCATTGGGAGGCTTACCCCC